TCAGTTTTAAAGCAAATTTTCGAGTTAAAATTTTTATTTCGTAAACATTTTTTGATAAGTGTTCTAGAAGCTGTGGAGAGTCCACTTGCTGGCCAATTAAAAGTTATCAACTTAAAAAAAATTTTTGTGGTCATTATTGGAGTTAAAAAAAATTTTGAGTCAAAAACCGTACAATCGGTAATTTTTATATAAATGTAAAGAGTTTAAACCGAAAATAATTTTTTCTTGTCCAAAAAAAATTTTAACTCGAAATTTACTTTAAAACTGACTAGGCCGGCCGCCTCTAGATGTTAAAAAAAATTTTTTTTTTTGTTAAAAAAATTTTCTATTTTTATAATCTACAGATTTTACCCTCAGGCTAAGCAAAAAAAAAATGTTTTTTTTTTCGCTCCACCCTAATCTATACATAACTTGTTAATACCACATTCAGCATAATCTTAACTACAGCTCGACTGTTATCCCTGTTTGTTATCTGTTATGACATATATTATATTGGCTTCTGGCTGTAAAGGTAAATGTCGGAAAGAGATTGTGTCAGCATTAATTATATAAGTGGCATAAAGTGTATAAATAAATATATATTGTTGGTTTTCCGGGTTAGTATTTTTCTGATAAAATTCAAGTATTTTGTATTCTTATTTTTTCGTGATAAGATTATTGGCGTAAGAGTAGTACTTGATTCACAATTAATGTTTATCGCATATGAGTGGTTGCGTACTTGTATATGAGTGTATGTCTGCAGAAACTCAAACTGTCTGACTTATAGATAAATCTGTGCATTTCTGCCTTCTTCAAATATATTTTAGCTTTGTTGGTGTAAAGCTATGTAGGAGTTCATGGACAATTGTAAATAAGCTTTATAAACCGTATCCTTACATTACCTACGAGTATGTTCTGCTAAATTACATTACATTTTAATTTTTTTATGCAGAATATAAAGAAACAATTTTATTTTTGCCTTGGTTTTCGCCAAATATTTTCAATAAAATATACAACATACAAACAGCTCCTTACAAGCACTTTTGATCGTTTATAACTTTGTTTTGACTTTATAAACTTATTTATCAGTATCAAGTCGAAAATTGCATAATGAACTGCGGAGTGCTCCTAAAAACTTCCCCGAAACCATAAAATGAGATTTGTATGAATATGTTACAATATAATTGTTCCAAATTATGGTATTAAAAATTTCTTCCATATTTAAGCAGTGTGCATACTGAGGATTTTTATTACCTTGATAAAAATATTGCGTTGATCTTTTTACTGTGATTCATGGAACTGGTTTTTATACTCTAAAGGCTCTAAGAATATAATTTTTGGTTCCTTGTCATTATTTGTAGTTGCTGCTATAATATTCATTAATATATAGATAGTTGGTATTAATGATTATTACGAAATTTTATAACCTGCACAGAGCACATTAAGCTGGTTACAAAGTTTGTAGCATCCAGAAGAAAACGTCGGAGACCCTATTAAATATGTACATATATAAATTTAGATTTAGCCATGTCCGTATATATACGAACTAGTTTTACAGTTTTTGAGACACCGACCAGAAATTTTGCACACGTCCTTTTTTTACCAAGATATCTGTATCGCCCAACTATAGCATATAGCTGTCATACACACTGACCGATCCAATTTAAATACATGTATAAAAAACTTTTATTTGACAAGGTATCGTCACAATATTCGACAAAGAATATTATTTAAGGCATCTCTACAATCTCCGAACATATTGTTCAGATCGAATCACCATAGCATATAGCTGTTATTAAATTGGCTGAAAAAAATCAGGATATCGATATTTTTATACCCTTTGTGCTATTAAAATTCACTTGTGAAGGGTATTATAGCTTCGTTGCCGCCGAAGTTGGCGTTTTTTTTTGTTCTATAATACTCTGGACTCGGCAGATATTCATCTATTGGAGAACGTTGTAAAGAGTTTACTCTTAAGTGTTGGGAGCCAGAGCTTTAGTGGTAGTACGAAATACGTCGCTTAAGAGCTTTCAGTTTCAAGATGAGCTTCTCAATATATTTCTGACATATGGAATCTTCACTTAAAAAATGATTTTAGAGGTAGCTTAAAAATCGTAGGTTTTTGGAAATTGACCATGTCTAACAAATAAGCGCTCTGTATTGACAGAAACTAAAAAAGCTACCAGAAAGGCGCTCTTTATTGCAAGTTTAAGTAGTTTGCTACCAGAAACTAAAAAAAATTACCAGAAAGATTCTTCTTATTGCAATTTTAAGTGGTTTGCTATCAGAAACTAAAAAAAAAAACTACCAGAAAGACTCTTCTTATTGCAAATTTAAGTGGTTTGCTATCAGAAACTAAAAAAAAAAAAAACTACCAGAAAGAATCTCTTTATTGCAAATTTAAGTACTTTTCTACCAGAAATTAAATAAAATACCAGAAAGACTCTACTTATTGCAAATTTAAGTAGTTTGCTATCAAAAACGGAAGAAATGTCATAGGTTTTAAGACAACTGCTTTGTGCAACCTATTTTAAAATTACTCAAGTGCCACTTACCGACAGCTGTGCCGCAAATAAAAGTCCTTAAGCCATAAACATAGATACGATAAATATGTATTTGTGTGTGTGTTTGTGCGAATTGCAATCATAAAATGTGCGAACATTTAAAATTATTGTATTACGAAAACCACTTGCTGAGCGGAGCCTGCATGCGGCGATTTAAAGAAGTGTGAGAGACAATTAATGTAACTCGACAGCGTTGCAGACAATAACAGGAAATACGATTACGCTTCCGGAGCAAAGTGCAGCGAAGAATAGGAAGGATCATATGAATGTAATGCAATAGTGGCGGTGTCAGCTGCTTGACTTCGGTTTGAGCATGTGTGAGCGTGTGCGTTAAGTTGATTTGTATGAGTGCATGCTCGCTAAAGTGCGCTTGCATTGCTGTGTGTGTATATGTGTAGTGCAAAGTTCAACATTGCCGTTGTCATTTTGTTTTTCTGTCGGTTTGGCAAATCAGCAGGTCTCCCAGCATGTGGCAACGCAATAAAAAGGGATAACATAAGGCAGCTGCATGAGCACAGCGCCGCCATGAGTGCAATATGAGCCGAAGCGCTTGCTATGTGAAAGTGGCACATTAGAAAGGGGCAGCGCTTTACGCTTAGCAGCGAGTTAGTGGCTTATATGCCAGCGTAAAGCATATTTATCAAGCTTTCGCGTTGGGAAATAACAAATTTCAAAAAAATACACTCTTCTACTGAATACTTCGTGCAGGACTTCTTTACGTGCAAGCAGAAATATTTTATTCACATAAACTATACTTTCCTCTTAGTCCCAGAAATCCCTTAGACGTAAACAAAACTTATTACTGAAACACTTTACCGCCGGCATTCGCATAACTTGCCCCCCCCACAACGTCTTGGTAGAACTGTTACATCACGTAGAAATTAAAATTCCAGCAGCAAACGTTGCAGTGACTTTGATTTCGCGGCAGACATAAGCGAAGCAAAAAGAGACGCATGGACGCGATGTCGATAACATTGAAAACCGCCGGAAACTGCAATGAAAGTGCAGCCAAAGGAAAATGAAAAACTAATAAAAGAAGCGCAAAAAACGAAGCCAACAACTGAAAACTTCAATCGAAGAACAACGCCCTGCAACATAATGAACTGCAAAAAGTCAGTGCGCGGTAGCAATCAGGCGGCAAACCTGCAGGCAGACTTACAAATACCTACACATACATACATACATATGCTTGTAATATAGTAAATTCCGCGTGGCAATTTCGCGCACTCCGCACCGCGTGGCAATTTCAAAGGCAACGCAAATGTGCAACCAGAAAAAGCATTGCACTTCATTGCTGCGAGCAGCAACACAAAAGCGCTCAACATTTGCCGATAAGAAATGAAGTCGTTAAGTAAAAACGACGCAGCAAGTGCGGCCAACGGTGGCGGGTAACGGTGTAGTAGAGCGTAAAAGCGTAAAGTAGCGTGGGAGTAAAAAATCAAAAAAAAGAGAGAAGAATCTTTAAAGGTCACTGCAAAAGTACAACGAAGCGCAGCGTAAGGAGCGGAAGGTAACTACCATCAAAGTGGAGTGTTAATGAAAAAGTGGCAAATGGCATTGCTGTTTGTGGCAGGTGCTAATGAGTAGACGACGAATGCGTCAAGAGTGAACAAAAGGCATTTAATGGAAAAGGTGGTGAAGATATTTAAAGAGAGAGATTGGTTGTTAACAATTTTTGGTTAATTAAAGCAGCAAATTGTGGTGAGAGCCTTATTGGTATAAAATAAACTTCTGAAAATATTTAGAAATGCATTTTCACAGAGTTGTTATCAGTGAGGATCAATGATCATTCATTTCTTCATAGTAAAAACACAAACTGTTTTGAACTAAACAATGATAATTTAAGCTTGCATTAAAATATGAAAACATTTATTTTCTGTAATCTAAGAAATAACTTAAGATCTTTTAATGATGCACGCGAATTAACTTGAAACGAGAGAATGTTCGTTGTACGCTCAGCAGCACGATGAGATTAATAGGGATCAATATAAACTACTTGGTAAAGTCATGAACTCCGTAAAACCTTAAGTTATTTCCGGATAATTCGCTTAAATGTTCTGCTGTCGGACGTATTCGAAAACTCATTGATCCAAATATGCGACTGAGCCAACCTCTTGTTGCCAGACGAGCTGCAGGTTAATCATCCTTGTCTAACATTTTATATATGAGATCCTATTAAAATAGAGCACTTGTAATTTAAGTAAACATTAGTTCCAAGAGACCACAGAATGCTAGATTTGTTGACCTGTTAAGACCATTGATGCGTTTATTTCACAATCAATATAAAAGGGAATAGTGTTGCCGCCTTATTTTTCAGTGTGAGTGTGATTTCAAGAACAAAAGCTGTTATACATTTTTTTTCGCTTATATTCGACTTATATGTTTTTTAGTTCTCTCTCTTCTTTGATCTCTCTTATTACAACATCTTTCTAACAATTGTCTCTTTATTTCCCTCAGCAAATCTAATTGGCATCGATACAATACATCAGCAGACGCTTTCCGGTCAAGAGATGGACCAACTTAATGAGCATCAGCTGGATAAAGTCGCCAATAATGTGAGCGTTTTCTATCGTGTGACACCGCGTCATAAACTGGCGATCGTAAAATCCCTACAACGTACAGGAAATATTGTCGGCATGACTGGAGATGGTGTAAACGATGGTGTCGCTTTGAAGAAGGCGGACATTGGTATAGCTATGGGCAAGAATGGCACGGATGTGTGCAAAGAAGCAGCTGATATGATACTAGTCAATGATGATTTCCACACTATAATGTGAGTAAACTGTTTCTACTATAGTTATTATTAAAGATCATTTTTATTGCCAAAATTATTCTTGTACTTATACAGCTCTTAGTTTGCATTCTCCCAAACCTTTTTGAAACTATTTTCTGTTTTGAAACATTACACCCTTGTCACATTATGCCTTTCCTCTCACCATTTACACATTCAACATCGCATCCCAACTCATGAAACTGCTTGACACTATAGCTGTATGTTATTTCTGACAATTCTCTCTTTTCATCTCGAATTCTTAGTGCCGCCATCGAGGAAGGTAAGGCAATCTTCTACAACATTCGCAATTTCGTACGCTTTCAACTGAGCACCTCGATCGCCGCTCTCTCACTGATCGCGCTCGCTACACTTATGGGTATCGCTAATCCACTAAATGCTATGCAAATCCTTTGGATCAATATTATTATGGATGGACCACCAGCGCAATCGCTCGGCGTCGAACCGGTGGATCACGACGTACTCAAGCAGAAACCACGTAATGTCAAACAACCGATGATAACGAAATCAGTGATCGTAAATGTGTTGTTGAGCGCCAGCATTATAGTGCTCGGCACGTTATGGGTATTTCAGCGTGAAATGGCCGATGGCACGATGGGAAAAACGAAGCGTGATACGACCATGACTTTTACATGTTTCGTCTTTTTCGATATGTTCAATGCACTGGCGAGTCGTTCTGCAACGAAGAGTGTCTTCAAGATTGGCTTGTGCACGAACAAGATGTTCCTACTTGCTGTTGGTTTCTCGATTATAGGCCAAATGTTGGTCATCTATTTCCCACCACTACAAATGGTATTCCAAACGGAAGCGCTCTCTGCCTACGATATACTATTTTTAGTTTCGCTCACCTCATCGGTATTGATCGTGGCGGAGATTAAAAAGTGGTTCGAACGCACGATGGAGCGTAAGATGTACAAGACACGCTCCGAATTGGATTTCGTATGACAAAAAGCAAGCGCTGGAAGAAAATCGTCAAACGTAAAGAATGATTAAGCTTAGCAAAATACACACAAACCACAAACAAACAACACGTAGCAAGGAGTATGAGGAGTATGATATGGAGTGAACGAACTTAGGCGGGCGAATGACGAATGGATTGCCGTAATGGAATTGCGGTTAGAAGCGTAAAAGTAAAAAAAAAACGAAAACCACAAAAAAAATCGAAAATGTTTAGGGTACACTGGGCGTAATTTTAAGAGAAAGCAAGAGAGCAACATGAAGTAAAACGAAAGAGAGCAAAACTAATACAATACATTACTTTAAATGTCTCTTTAACTTTGTATGGTTTAATTTTCGTTGTAATTAGTTGGTATTTAAACGCATTAAGCGATTTGACTAAGTTAGATAGCGAAAATGGTGAGCGAGTTGAAGAAAGGATGCACGTGAATATGCTTAAAGTGCTGTGAAGTTTTTAACGAAAAAATATTGAACGTGACAAACAGAGTAGTGCAATTGGTAATATAATGAGGAGCAATGGTTGAAAGTTGTGGATCCTACTAAAATAATCTTATTTAATAATATTTACAGAAAATTATTTCTAACAGTTTGTTATGACCGTTTTGTTTAAATGTTTGCCCTGAGAGCAGATTTTAATTTTCATACAAAATTTTTATATGGTTAGTGTAGCTGTAACTTTTTGAAACTGTTTCACAACAATGTTGCTAGGAGATATTTGTAACTCAAGTCCACTTTGGCTATTTAGAATCAACTAAATTATTCTGATCAGCTGATTCGAGGCTCCAAATTATATTTTGTCTCACCAATAGTTTACATTCACAAGCTAGAGGATCTACTTGAAATAACGCAAGTCGACTTGCGTTAATCACGACCAATTAAGGTTTTCTGACTAGCGCATTCGAGACTCGAAATTTTATTTTGTCTTAAACATGAGCCTTTAATTACAAGTTTTACATCCAGCTAGAGCGAATGCTCAGTTTTTTTCTTAGCAATAAAAATATTTACTTTAGCTTAGCAATTTGAGCTGTCTTTAAATATTATCATAAATATCTATTTTTCAATTTCCATAGCTTGAAGACAGTAAATATTGTAAGATTTCACTAGTAATGTTGCGCAATACTGTTACCTAGGCGATGTAGCAATAATATGTTGAATTCGTTCAAATCGACTTGAGTTAATGTGAAACATTTAAGTTATTTTTACAAACATACTCGAGACTCGAAATTTATAATTTGTATTGCCACACGATACTCGAAATTGTAATTTATTTTACCAAACGGTACTCAAATTTGTAAGTTATTTAACCATAGAAACGGTAGCTTAAAAGCAGGATTTAACTAGAATTGACCAGTTTTATATTAAAAATGTTGCTGAAAGTGACTTTTCGTTTTAATATTTTTCAGAAATTTCACTGGTTTTCGAAATATTTTAGTTTTTTTTGTTAATTTTTTGATGTAGTTGACTTGTTTTTTTCGTTTAATTTTGTTTGGAAAACTAAATGAACAATTTGTTTTTGTTCCTTTAAATTTTTTGTCGTTCTATTACGTTGTTAATTTTTTGCCCTCTGACGCAACTATTTGGTATTTGTTTTAAATATTTTTTTTTTAAGCTCTCACATCCTTATTTGCTCGTTTACATATAGTTTTGTATTAAATTTGTATTGAATTATAATTTAACTATATAATTTAATGTATTGTGTATAATTTTAACTATTTTTTTTGGTAATTCTTGTATTAATTGCTTGCTTGGAATAATTATAATGTTAAATGCAAAGCTGAAATACAGGGAGTAATTTAATATAGAGTTTTTTTTTAAATTATAAATTGAAAATTTTTTAAATTATAATTTTTACATTATTTTATATTATAATAAATTATATTTTTTTTTTAGTTATAATAATCATAGTTTCTATTGGTACAGCAGTAATGTTTCAGTGCCCTATTACTGTTAATAGTATTTGCAGCTCAGCAAAAATTTCGCTTAAAACTCTTAAACTTCAACTTATTGGGTACTACTTGTTCCTTTTGTTCTTCTAAGCAGAAAACTTTTGTATTGAAATAAAGCTTTACGGATTCCAAGTTACTTTGAACATTTGAATATGCATCTACTATACTATATAGATATATACTGCTTAGTTCTAATATTTTAGTTTTAAATTTTCACATCTTTGCTAGCGTTAGGGAAACACTATAACTGTAATTTTAATCACGCGTGTGTATATATTGTGCACAGTTTTCGAAAAGAGCTCTACTTATTATTTCATATTTTTTAATTATTGTGATATTAAATTAAGTGCTCGAGTTTGTCGTTTTGTAAATTACTTTATTGCTTTGAAAAAAAAAATAATAATAATAATAAACTTTCAGTTGCTCTTTGTTTTGATTTAAATTTAAGAAAACTTTATTTTTAAATTAATTTTTAGTTTATATATTGATGTATAGTAAATTTAGTTGCTTTAGTTTGGTTTGAAATATAAAATAAATTTATTTAAAGCCTTAATTGTTACTGTTTATTTATTTTTTGTATTTTTTTTAAATATTTTTATATATTTTGTTGTATATCATTATTGAAAGCAATACTATTATTCTTCTTCATTCTCTGTATATCGTTCAATGAGTAATTAGCAAGGAGCCATAAAGTTGTTAAGTGGCAACTCTAAACTCTGAGTATAACTGATATTGCACTACTCTCAACGAAGAACTGTGTGGAAAATGCGTGGAAATAATCAAATCAAAAAACGCATACACTCTAACACAAAATAATTGCCCATCAAACCTATAGCATTTCTAATAAGCGTTTTCAAATTATTCAAAAAGTTACAAGTGCATAAATAAATGCAAAAATTACCAAAAATTTACCAAACCTAGTCAAGAAACCCCTGAAACATTTTTTGTTGAACCAATTTGGTCAGTCAACCGGCAGATGATTGTGCTTCGATGTGTTGGTATGCGTGTGCGTGCGTGCGTTCGTAGTAATTGCAAGCGAATAAAATTCTATAATTAAAAAAAAACAACAAAATTTGATGATTTAAAAAAAAATTAACTTCTAGCGCTGAGTTGCTTAAAATTCAAACAATGTGGCAGAATTAAAATGAGATTAATTTGCAAAAGTGTAATTTATTTACGCAAAATTTTTGAGAATGTATGACGGAAGTGTGTTTATAAAGAATATGAATACTAAGCAGGAGAAAACAGTAATCAAATACAAAAACAAAAGCAAAAACTAAAAATAATAAATAAGTTGCCGTGAAGCACTGATAATCCGTTTTTAAGCAAATTCACTTCAAATTAACTGTTAAAAAGTAAGCGAAAAATATTTTGACTAAAAAGGCTAAATAATTTCTGAAAACTTATGTTTAAAAAAAATTTTAAAAATTGTAAATTTTTTTGTTGTGGAAATGTCGAAGTTTGTATTCAAAGTACACTAAGCATTTGAATTACGAGTAAGACACATAAAAACGCTTCTGAAATCTTAGTAGAAAAATATATGAAAATGAAATAATTTGAAAGCAACTTTCAATATACAATTTTGTTTTTGTTTTCTGCAGGGTTGCGAATTTTTTAATTCACAAATTTTGAAATTTGGAATTTTAATTTTTTAAACCAAGATTTTTGGAATTAAAAATTAGATTTTCACTTTTTTAATCCACGAAGAGTTAGATCATTAGATTTCGGGTAAGAAATCGACTGTCTGGAAAAGTTTCTTTGAAGACTTTTCTAACGGTTTACTACGGCTAAAAAAAGAAAATAAATATATTTATTGTGTTTTTTTATAATTAAAAATTTTTTTCTTTTTTAATAATATTTAAGCCAGAGACGTAAAACATATTTACGTCTCTGCAGTTTACGTGCTTAAAACGTTTGCAATTCGGTTATTATACATATTTTTTCTTGAACCTCCAAAATTATAACAAAATATTAGCGAAAATTAAAAGCATGTTTATTTGTAGTAGTTGCAAGTAAATATACGTACATCATAGAAAAAGTAAACATTTACGATATTTAAAAATTAAAAAAAAAAAAAAAAAATCTGCAAAGTTTGCAAAATGTAGAGGAAATTAGAGTTATATAGCGTCGTAGCGCACAAAATATGACATTCCCAAGTTACATTAGCGATATAGGTTCTCTGAGCATAATATAAAAATAAATGCATAACAAAGCATAGCGTAGCATAGCATATAGGCAAAATATGTGTTTCAACAGGAATTCAAGTTTGATGCTTTCGGCATAAAGTATACGGGTAAATCAAAATATATAATATTACCATAGACTAAATATGACTAAATAAAGTTTAACTAAAAAGCAATGAATGCTAATATAGTAAAACGTTTCTGTATTAAAAGTTGGTAGTAGTTCCCTAAATGCAGTAAAAAAAAAGTATACTCTGCGTTATTAAATTGACTTCAAGAACTATATAATGCATAAGTGAATATTTAAGCAACTTATCTAAGGCTTATAATATATAGTTCTTAGCACTATATATGAAAATAATATCGCTCTTCAACAGTTAAACTTTTCAGCGAGCTCTCAAATTGCTTTTCTACAACTTTTCAATAAAGCAATCTAAATTTCAAAATTGCCTCCCCGTGAGGAGCCTAATGAATAAAAGTATTATAAAAAATATTTCGTAAAATTTGAGTATAACATATTTTTACTAAATGGTGTTTATACCGATTTGGTAACTTGTCGAGATCAAAAAACTACCTTACGATCTGTTATTACAGCTTCTTGTAAAGTCTACAAAAAATTACTTAAGTACCAACATAAATATCAAAAAATTATATATTTACCATATATAAAAATAGTGGAAGTATATATGTTGGTGACAACCCATATTACGTAAAGATCTCCAAAATTTCGCCATGGTAAACTTTGAATTAATTTACCACAATTTTTCAATCAACTTTCTTGCTCTTACTCCTCTACATTTTTGTAAGATTTTATGAAAATACGCGAAAATGTAAACTCATGTAATAGAACACCAAATATTTTAAAATAAGTGTTAAAAATTATGTCAAACGTTGTTAAACAATTATGAAAAATTTGTTGCAATGTTTTTTCGAAATTTAATTAAAAACTGTTACTCACTGAAAATATGGATTTCAGAAGCAAACAATAGTTTTAGTGAACCAAACCAGAGAAATGATAAAAACTATTAAAAATAATTATAGCGGAAATAATAAAAAATTAGTAAAATAATAAAAAATGCTTTAATTTTTAATAAAATCAACAGAAAAGTAAAGAGTTTATTCTTAGCGGTGGCACTTAACGCTACAAATTTTATGTGTTTCAAAATAGCATACGCACGCTAGAAAAAGTTGAATACTCGTTCAATAAAGTCAACAATAAAAGAGAAAATGTTGCATAGATAACTTACCACAACTATTTTTAAAATAGTGTTGAAAACAATTTTTCGAAAAAAATCACATTTTAGGTGATACTTGCATTTAGAAGAAAATATAATAACAATACAAACCTAAAAAGCAATAGAAAATTAAAATTAAATAAATAGCAAATACTTAAAATATATTCAGCAAATATGGTAATTATGACACAGACATACAAAACTAGTCTTAATTCAATTTTCAATTTCACTCGTAATAATTTTACAATATAAAAAAGTCATAACGGCAAATAACGTGCTGATTGTTACTCGAAAAAAATATTGATAAATAAAAATAATTTACATATTTCCTGACATATTTCTAAAATTAAGTCACTTTTGAAATTAATGCAATGTAAAATGTATTTACAATTCACTCATGCAAATCACAATCACCTAATCAATGTCATAAACATATCACCGCAAAGCCACAAAATTCTCAATTTTCTAATTAAAAAAATATTTTCTTTAGAATTAAAAACGTAAAATCTTGCATTTTCGCTACTACAATGCATTCCAACACCCAGCGCACCCATCTTGCGGCATGAAATCATCTACATGTGCACGAAATCTAACTCATCTTATACATTAGAAGCACTAAATAAAGAGGAAGTAATCTATGACTTACGTTATTTATAAATAAAAAAGAATTTGATTTTGTTTTTGCACAACATTCTTATGAAAACGCACGAAATAATTATTAATTTCTACTGATTATAGTTTGGTTGAAGATTCTTTGTATAAAAAAAAAAACGAATTCAAAGCGAGTTTCATAATCTATTTAATGTAATATTCTTAAACTCACTCACAATAGAGTTACAGATTGTGCCACAAAGTGTAAGCGATATTTTAATGTAAGCTCAGCTAAAGCTAAAAGCTTTTGATATTTTAGTGAAAGCTCATATGAAACCTTTTGATAGCAGTTGCATTGATAGCAGTACTTATTATGAAAACTCAGATTAAAGCTTTTGATATTCTAATGGAAGCTCAGCTGAAAGCTTTCGATATATTAACGTAAGCTCAGATTTTTTAATAGTTTTATGAAAGTTAGATGCAACTTTTGATATTTTAGTTAAAAGCTTTTGATTTTTCGATAGATAAAACTTATTGAAAGTAAGTCAGAATACATCAGTCATATTCGGATGGTGAAAGCTTTATACAAAAAATTTTTTGCATAGTCTTTAACTGTAATTCATAACAAGTCGTTTTTAAAGCGGATTTAGTTGATATATTTTGTGTGTTTTCATAAGAAGCTAGTGCGCTAAGTTACGTAGTATCACTTTTTAGTAGATTTTAAACCTTTTTAGTTTCGCAAAGATTTGATATAACTATGTGCACTTTCTAAAATTAGCAGCTCTCAAATATCATCAACTCGAATATATCAACAGCGCCTCATACCATTTATTACCATTTATATCATGTAAACTTTGGCATATGCAAAAAAAAAAACAAAAGGAATAAGAAGTCGTTCAATCACATATACAAAGAAATGCAAATCACCTATACACATACAAAATCACATTTACTCATCTAAGAAACACCTTGAATCACAAAAATCACAAACTATACAAAACAAACCCACTTTACACTTACGCTAAACTTAAAAATAACGCATAATGCAAAAGCAAAAAGATTACACTGAATGAATGTTAATGAAAACGCTCACCTAACCCACACGCATAATTCATAATAAAAATTGAAAAATAAGGAAAAAAAACGTAAAAAAAACTCATCCACAATGGTAACAATAATTAGGCTTATAAGTGCGTAATATTTATTATGTATTTGTATTTGTATTTATATATATGTACGTATAAATGTTAAACTATACTAACGCATATACTGAAATAACTTATTTAAGTTAAACTCAATTAAACTAAACTAAAATATGAATTATATAAATTAATTAATTTATATTTACATGTACACGCATGCTTACAAATCTACATTAGCAATTTAATTGAGAAGCAGCAAAACGCCACTGATTTGTAATGCTTTAAATTAAACTTTAATATTTGTAATGATAATGGAAATTTTATATACAATTGTCGTACATATACTTACGCAAATTGTTTTGCAGAGTTGCATGTGCGCATATTTCATAATTCGAGCGAACAAGTGTATTTTAGACGGCAAGCAAGAAAATAATTGTTTGCATTTCATGGCACGCCAAATAGAGGTAGGAGATGGTAATTTCTATTAGTGGATAAATTTTTAAACTTTTGAGCTTTTAGAGTTTTGGAGAAAATTTTCAGTTTTGAAAAATAGCATTAAGCAGAATTTTGGTTTTATCGTTCATTTTGAGCTTTTGTTTTGTGCAAAAATATATATACGATACATATTAAGCTTTCGAGCTTATTGAGCTATTAAAAAGAAGTCAAGTTGTGAATGTAAGCAGGATTTGTTGCTTTATGGAAAAATTTGAGCTCTTGTTTTGTGCAAATATATTATTATTCTTTTCAGTTTTTTGAGCTTTTTAAAAAATATTCGAGTTGTGAAACACTCCATGTTATCGGGATTTGTTGGTTACATGAAAAACTTAAGCTTTTTATTCGTGCAAATATACATATACTTGTACATTTATATACATAAATATTACAAAGCTTTTTGAGTAGGTTTTGATGCTTTGTCGAAAGATTTGAGCTTTTATGCTATGAAAACATATATGTATGCTTTTTTCAAAGTTTAACTCGCGAGCAGAGCCTAATCTCTCTCGAAAATACTTATATGTATTGTATATCGTATTTTGATTTTTGAACTTCCCTCGTAAGTTTAGTTTCATTTCAAAGTGATTATTATATCTGAGTTCTTCATAAAATATCCAATTTTTTCCAAAAAAATTTTGCAAGCATTCATTGTAGTTTTTCCAAAATATTTTTGATCTAAGCATAAGAAGAAAAACTTTCGGCTTTTTTGAGACCGAATCTTCTTTATAATAAATCCAATATTAATTCGGTTCAATGAAATTTTTAAGGTTTAGGAAAAGTTTTCTGCATTTTTAAAACTACAAATCAGAAATAAATTTTATTTACTAATTAGAAATAGTTTTTTTTGTTTTAAAAAAAGCTTTAGTCAAACATTTTATGTGAAGCTTGTGCACAGTGAGAGATTTTGCACAGTTTTAGCAAGCTTTTTTTCTTCAAAAAGTGTGCTTAAAATTTTAAGTAATTTGGAATAATTATGAAAACTGATTTAAAAATGTTCAAATATATACAAAAAATTGGCAAAACCTTACATAGATTAAATTAAACTAGATTTTAGTACTAATTGGCTTTGTATAAAATTATATAGTTGCCAACTTTTCTAATCTGTTCAGCTAAAGCACATATTATCTCTGTACCAAACTATTTATTTATATAAAATAACACTATTTAAATTGGACTACAATTGTTCTATGAAAAATTGTGCGAAATTTTTATAATAAAAAAACTTAACATATACAGGTATTTTATAAAACAAGAAAAAAAAATTGCGAGTTAGCTTTCACTGAAAGCTCGTTTGCGCCTTCGTAAGCGTTTACTCACACTTATGCTGTGCTATTAATTGTAAGTTCGTTGCTTAAGTCTTTTATTTGCGCGCTTCTTTTCCACCACTGTGATTTTTGTCTGTAACATATGCACTTACTGCGTGATTTTATTTTTACTTTCGCTATTCAACTTATAAATTTAGTAATTGGTAAGCTAAATTAATGCAAAATATACAAACACACACACTTACAAATAAAAAAAAATTAAATATGACCAAAAAAAGTATCTAAATTCAAACAAACTCAAGCCCCACACACACTCATCGCATCTCTACAACTACAAAATATAGTAACTGTACAAGTTCAAAACTAATAAATTAGTGTATTATTACATATACGCATACATACAAATATTCAAACCAAAAATTACAACAAAAATAATAATATAAATAATTACAATATAATGGAATAAATAAATATTTCTATACATACACACACACATCTCTTGTGTCGACTGTATTAGTTGTCTGAAAAGTTCTAAATTTTGCGTGAAATTCGTTAATTAAACAAAATTTCATATACATAAATATGTATTAGTGCGCTGTCTGGTGCATTGAAATAGCAAACAAAAAAAAGAATACTTTAGCGTAACGACATACAAATAAAAAAATAAAACTATGAATACACAAGTGAAGCGCTGGCAGAAGAAGAATACAGAAAGTCATAATTGAGATGAAAATATTAGTGCATACACAACATAATACCAAAAATAAAATATACATACATATATACACATAATATAATATGATCAAACTAATTTAAATATTATAAAAATATTTAATGAGAAATTTACCAATAAAACTTTCTGTAGCAGTAAACAAATCGCATGCGAGTTTTATTTCGAAAAGGTTCACTTCGTATAAAAGCAAAAAAGAAACAATGTAAAAATATATGTCTTTGCGTAGTCAAATCTTCTTCATAGAAGAACTGGAGTCAATAAACGGTTTTTATTTTGATTTTATTTCAATTTCTTCGTATTTCTAAATTATTTTCTCTGTTTCCTGAACTTTTAAAAGCAAGTTTGAAAGGGTACTGTAATATATTCGATGGCTGAATTTGGTAAAAAAAGGAAAATAATTCTGGTTGTATTGTCTTTTTACTTGAAAATCGCTCATTTTTAGGGGCCGTGTACAAAATGCAGCGCCATTGTGGGCAATTTCTTTATCCCTTTTCACGGTTAACTAAATCTTTTATTGTTTTTTTTTTGTTAAAAAAATTAACTGAGTATGTAGCAATATATTTCCTACTTTTAAATTGTTGCACACAGTTTTATTTTTAATCAAATCTTGTTTTTTTAACGTCAACTCTTCAAATTGTAATACTTGTATTTTAGTCAATTATTTGCAACTTTCAATACTTTTTATACATAAGAATTCAAACCATTCTTAAAACGCTGTCTTACCGATAACGGGAAGCTGTCAACTGTCAACGTAGGTGACTAATAGCTACAACAGAATAACTGCGCTACCGACCGGTGTGTGTCTTTGCTATTACCGCTACTTCCGGAATTCCCGTATTCAATTGCTTTATTGATAATTTGTATAAAATAAATTTTTACACCCAAAGAAAGCGCTAAATTGTGTAAAAAATTATCATAAAAAAAGCGGGCCTCGGTCTCCTAATATATATGTGGTTTAGTATACTTTGGAGTAAATTTTTTGAAAAATTTGGTACTTCAGTTAATCATAGAACAGCGTGGCCCGTGTAGGGTATATTTTCTATAAACATTTTAAACTTTTTCGGTATATTATCAATTCATTTGTATCTATTCTTCATCTATGATGATTATTTTCGAAGCACAAGTATAATAGCTTGCTTCATCTATCTTGGCTTTCCTTACTGTAGCACACCCCTTCAATCCCAGGTTTTAATAATAGGAACGATTTCTAATTATGTCGCTCAGATTTTTTGTTCGGTGTTAACGTTTAAACCTAATACATTACTAGAAAATTTTCGCTATCAACTGGCAAGAAAAATAACTCACATATAAAAAATATTATAACCACTTCGATTTGGTAATGAATCGCGCAGAGAATGGACGTAATATCAAACATGCCGCACTTTGAAAATATTGAATTTGACATGATGCAGCATTTGGACTGAAAACAAAGATTGTCGGAATCCCATCACGAAAAAGCAGCTTGTCTATATAAACATCACCGTTGCCCGCAAAAGTGAGTGACTGATTCCAAAGCGTCATAACCTACAACGAACTGTGGAGAAAATAATTTTGCAAAATTTTCTAATGCGCTGATTCGTAAATCGATGCCTTACACTAAAATTCTGTACAGATTTCTAGCAGTAAAGAGTTGCCGCTGCCAAAAGTAAGTAAAATTACAGAGATATATCGTTACTTTTCACAGTACATTTTGCAACACTACTCCATAATTAAAAAAATTTACTTGAAAAACTTTTATTTTTTATTTAAGTTTAAAGTTTCAGTACTGAGAGCGATTTTTGTAGCCAAGCATATTGCGCTAAAACCACGTAAATAAGTTTCTGTATACTTTTGGTGGTCTTTGATGAACACTAATGTATTTGCAACTGTATAATAATTAATACTGAAAAAAAAACACACGCGCAAAAGAAATCCTCGTCTCACTTGAAATAACAACGCTTTTCAGCTTTTTATATTACAAGATTCACTTTATTTCCATTTTCTTTCTCATTCTTGTGTATAATAATATAATTTTTACCATCGCATGAAATACTTGTTTTTTATTTTAATAATTTTTTTTGATCTGCTTGCTTAATGCGCACAATTTTCATTTTTCATTATAATTTATTTTAATATTTTTTTTTTTTTGGAATTTTTCTTTTGTTCGGTAATAATACTTTCCACAATACAATATTTTTGGGGGTGTTCTAAAATTTCTGTTGTTTATTTGTATGTATGTGTTTGTTTGGTGTATACTGGCAATCAAAAGTGTGTGTGACATTTCTATAGGCGACAAGCAAATCGCGCGCCGTCGAAATGTCAAACGGCCTCAAGTTGTTGCAGTGTGTGTAAGTGATGCGTTTGTTTGATTCTTGTGATTGTTGTTGGCTGTTGGTGTCTATATGTGTTTGTGTGTCTAACGGTACTTCATTTATTTACTTGCTCATATATATATATGTATATATAATATTTTATACGTTAATAAGTAAATATTACAAAAAAGTAAAACTTGACGACATTAAACTAGATGCATATGTATGTGTGTATTTTGTTTTTGTTTTTCCATTAAAAATCGTATCATGTTTTCTTGCTTATAATTCACTTTGATTTTGTTTTTTTTTTTTACTTTTATTATTAAATTACTTTTGGTTATTTTTGCCATTATTTGTAAGTTTTTTTGTGTTTATGCTTTAATTTTTTGCTTTTTAAGTTGACGTTTCTGCTTTGAAAATACAATTTTGTGTTGGTATATAATTTACTGTTATGATAGAGTACATAGTACGTGAAATTTGGATTTATCGGAAATTGGTAATTCTTAACTTTTGTGGGTTTGCTAGTTTTCGGTTTATCTAAAAATTGTCTGAAAACGTTTTGCACATATTTGTTGTTGTTTTTGCCTTTTCATTTTGATTGATCTTTGATAATATTTTATTGTTTGTTTTATGTTTTGTTGTGATGTTGCATGTGAATTAAATGAAGGAAAGAAATTGACTGTTTGAGAATGGTTGGTTAGATATGTAAGGTTGGTTATTTTTATGATGATGGTTTATATGGTTTAAAATATAGTTTTTGAACTAGAGCGAAAGTGTTGGCTTTAGTTTTCAATGTTTTCTGAAAAGCTTAGATGGGAGCTTTTATATTTTAGTAAGCTTATAAGAGCGCCTCGATGTTTTAAAAAATTTAGACGCGAGCTTTCATATTTTATAAAGCTTAAACGGAAGCTTTCATGTACTAGAAAGCTTATATGGAAGTTTTTATGTATTAGAAAGCTTATATGGGAGCTTTCAAAGTTTAGAAAGCTTCAATGAGAACTTTCATATTTTAGCAAGCTTATATTGAAATTTTGAATGCTCAATCATTGATCGCAAATCTGCACGGAATGTCAGCAGTAGAGTGCATGCTGTAATTTTATATAGTACATACATATGTTTTATTTCATCACCAATAAAACCCACAAAGTGAGAAAGTAAGTAGCTTAACGTGCTTAAAGTACTTCAAAAAGTATGACAGTGTGAAAATCATTTAAAACAATTACTATATAAGAGTATTGCGTATTGCAACGATATATCAGTTCAATACTGAAAACTCTAAAAGATGAATTGATTGAAGTCGTGTGGGATTTTCGCAGGACTAGTAGGTAAATATTTGTTTGAAAAAAGAAATTTGCGCCCATTTAACAGCAATTGCCTGGCATACTCTTGCATAGATGCCAAAACTTTCAAATTTACTATTTTGCTAAAAAAATAGATTTAACAAAGCGCCTCAGCACAACGAAATGTCTAAAGACAAATTATTTATGCCACAGTGTTCCAACACTTTCTTAACTTAAAATATTATGCAAAACTGAATTTCTAACTTTTTTTGCGACAACAACAGAACGTTTTTTGAATATAGTTTGAATTTCTTCAAAGAATAACTACAGTTGAATGCTGCAATGTTTTCGCTATGGATTTACACAATTTATGCTTTGCTTACCCACGTTCGCTACTATACTATGCATTTGCTGAAATGGTATGTGTGTGTTATAGTTTTATTTTTGATTTAATGTATCTTTACTTGCATTTTTTTGGCTTAATTTGTGGTCTTTTTTATTTTGAATTTCCATTATGACTTTATGCTGCCGCTTATTCTTTTTTTTTTTAATACCTAAAGAGTTAAAAATTGTATTTTTGTATGCATTTTTGTGGTTTGTCTATTCAAATATTTACCATTATTTAATTTTTCCTTACTTGCTTTTTGTAGTTTTTATTTTATTTGTAATTTTTTTTTGTGTTTTTATAATTTTTAGCTTAATTTCCACTTCGTTTTTGGTATGTCTAAAAAATGATGCTTAAATGTTTGCTAAATATTTATAAATGTATGTATGTATGCTTTATTTTTGTAACGTACTAACCTTAATGCTGCGGTATTTTGTTTATTTATGTGTGTATGTATATTTTTTTGCTCCAAAAATTTTAATTTTATTTTTGTTTTTGTTTTTGCTGACCGTTCTTGCGTACGTTTGCGCCGTGTGTTTTCGAAAGTTTTTTTTACATATATTTGTTTTAGTTAAGGCCGGGACAAAGAATTTTCAATGCGTTTTCATGTGTTATAGCCGAGACAAAGTTTTTGAAAAGTCAAATTTGTTTTTTGTTTGCTTTTTTTTTGTTTTACTAGTTCTTTATATGCAACATTTCTGTTGTGCTTGTTGTTTTTTTATTTCTCATTGCCAACTTTGGCGTTTTCATATTTTTAGACATTTCATTTTCGCATCATTTTTCCGCGCACCCTAATGTCATCTTCACAAGCAGGTTTTTCTCAAGACTTGAATTTCTTATAGCAAATGGTTGTTTCTGCGTCTAAGTCGTCGTTTGGCGCAGCTTCTTTTGTGTTCAAAGTTTTCATAAAATTTTTAAGCTTAATTTTTTG